AGCAGGAATTCAGGGCTGCCTCAGACTCCCACCACTGTGCCTGTGAGCTGCGGGGTGGCTGCACACCACTGCAAGGGCAAGGAGACACTCAGCCCAGCATGAGCTTAAAAAAATAGGCATTTTTATTCCAATGTAACTAGAGAATTACGACTCAGGAGAGAGGATTACTCACATTTGTCGATAGGCTGATTAGATTACTGCCTAAATAGCTGTGCTTGAGCAGCATGTCCGCCTTAAGGAGAAGCAGCGAAGGAGCGTGGCGCATCGGAGACCTTGTTGTCCTTGGTGGCATGGGGAGGTCTGAGCAATGCGCACCGGGGCGCTGTGTCGCATCACCTCATCCTGCTTTGACTATTTACAGCTTCTTGGGAGGCAAAAGCTTGTAATGTTTGCTTGGCTGCATGGTGTGTCAGGCATTGAGCTCCGTTCCTCCTGCATGGCCACAATTGGGAAGAGGGTATGTACCCCTCCTTGTGATGGAGTCACGCTTCCCCTGTGGTTAGGAAACCACAGCATGCTGATGGGGCTGGCACAGGCTGGGAGACGATGGTGGCATTGCCATTCCCAAGAGCCCTGGCATGAGTGAGAATAGTGTCCACTCCTCACAGCTATTCCTTGGCCTGTGGGTGTGTGACAGTGGTGTCAGGTTGGGCATTTCATGCCTGGGGACTCCCAGCCCTAGTGTCACCATTAGGGAGGGTGGATGTCCAAATAAAGGAGGGTTTCTTGGGCATGCTGGGTTCATCAGCATTACTCTTGTGCTAACAAGGCTGTTGGCCAGTGGATGACATAAGGAGCTCCTGCTGGGCACCAATGTGCCCATAGACCAAAACTCACCAGGAGCCCATGGCTGAAGCAGTTTTGGGTGATGCTGATGACTTCCATGGGTCGTGGTCAAGCCAGGAACTCAGGGTGCTCAATAATCCTGCTTCTAGCAACGATACAGGAGATCAGCTCTCGGGAGGCCCCAGCTCTGCTCCCAGCTCTGCCCCACTATGGCACAATGGGGGTGTCAGAAAAGACGGAGCTGATGGACTCTGTGTCTGACTTGAGCTGCAGGACCTTGGAGTGCCTGGGATCAGGGAAGTCTTCACCAAGGGCCAGGCACATCTTGCCATTCTGCGTCTCCCTGATGGGCTCAAGAAAGACTACATGCTTGCTGGCACTGGCCTTGCGGTTTGGCCCATCAGTGGCCGGGGGAGTGGTGCTGAGGATGGAGGACTGGGCACTGCACTCCTGTGGAGGGCTGAGAGGAGCTGGCTTCTTGCAGCAGCTCAGGCAGCGGCATGGTGTGAGGTACAAGTAGATGATTACCAGCACCAGGCTCACAATGCACCCCAGCAGGGTTGTGAGACCAGTGTTGAAGGTCTCACTGTCTGGCTTGCGGTACTGGACGGTCACGTTGACCTCACACAGTCTGCTGAAATTGCGGGGGCTGTTGATGGCCAGGCCTACGTAAACCCCCGAGTGCCAAGGTTTGGCCACAGCAATCTTCAGGCTGCCGTTGTGGTAGACCTCCAGCGAGCGGTTGCTGTTCCCTGGGTGCTTGATGGCCTCGTGGTGAGGGGAGATCCACATATAGGCGCTGGCTGCACGCGGCAGACTGGTGTTACAGGTGAGCAGGATGGGCTGGCCTGCCATCACCCGCAAGGGCAAGGGGTGCATGTCTTCAGGGCCAGCCGAACAGTGCTCAAACATGTGGCTGGAGTTAAGGAGTTTGATCAGGGACCTGGGCACATTGTCAGACACCTTGCAGGTGTGTTCCTCAAAGAAATCCTTCACAGAACTGAAACCTCGCTGGTTCCAGCGCAGGAGCATCAGGTAAAGTGAGCAGCTGCACTTGATGGGGTTGTTGTGCAAGTACAAGCCGTTCCTGATGTTTTCGGGCAGAGCTGCCAGCACCTCCACGGGGATGCTGCTCAGGCTGTTGGAGGAGAGGTCCAGTGTGCGGAGGTTGTAGATTCCCAGCCCCTGCACTGCATGGAAGGGAAAGGTGCTCAGGTTGTTCCAGCTCAGGTAGACTTTCCGCAGACCGCTCAGCTTGGCGAAGGCGTTTTCATCCACCCGTATGATGCGGTTGTTGTAGAGCAGCAGCTCCTCCAAGCTCACCAGTGCCTCGAAGTAGTGTGTCTCAACGGCGTGCAGGTGGTTGGAGGACATGTCCAGGTGTCGCAGGTAGGAGGCATTGTGGAAAGCCTGCGGAGGAAGGTCTTGAATCTGGTTGTGGCTAATGTGGAGGGCCTCGAGGTGCGGGAGTGCAGCCAGCCAGCGGTCAGGGAGCTGAGTGAGGGCGTTGTGGCTGAGGTCCAGCGTGGTGGTGGTGGACGGCAGTGCCTGGGGCACATTCTGCAGTGTCTTCTGGCTGCAGCTCAGCAGATCAGAGGTGCAGATGCAGGCGGCGGGACAGCGGT